GAGGCAGGGAGGGGAGGGGTCTCTAAAGGGAAACTGAGGCAGGGAGGGAAGGGGGTCTCTAAAGGGAAAGGCAGGAGGGAGGGGTCTCTGCGGGAAACTGAGGCAGGGAGGGGAGGGGATCTCTAAAGGGAATCTGAGGTGGGGAGGGGGGCCTCTAAAGGAAAACAGGCAAGAGGGAGGGGTCTCTCTGGGGGAAACTGAGGCAGGGAGGGGAGGGCTCTGAGGGGAAACAGGCAGGAGAAAAAGGATGGGTCTCAGGGAACTGAGACAAGAGGGAGGGAGAAGGGAAGGGGATCGCTAAAGGGAAACTGAGGCAGGAGGGAGGGGCCTTTGAGGGGGAACTGAGATGATAGGGAGGGGTCTCTAAAGGGAAACTGAGGCAGGAGGGAGGGGCCTCTGAGGGGGAACTGAGACGATAGGGAGAAGGGAGGGGTCTCTAAAGGGAAACTGAGGCAGGGAGGGGAGGAGTCTAAGGGGGAACTGAGGTGGTAGGGAGAGGGGAGGGGTCTCTAAAGGGAAACTGAGGCAGGGAGGGGAGGAGTCTAAGGGGGAACTAAGGCAGGGAGGGGAGGGTTCTTTCAGGGGAAACGGAGGGAGGGGAGGGGTCTCTGAGGTGGTAGGGAGAGGGGGGTTCTGTAAAGGGAAACTGAGGCAGGGAGGGAAAGACTCGTGAAGCAAAACTGAGGCAAGCAGGAGGGTCTCTGAGGGGTAACTGAGACAGGAAGGAGGAGGGGCAGGGACCTCTGAGGGGAAGCAGGAAGTCGGGGTCTCTGAGGGCAAACTGAGGCAGGCAGGGGCCGCAAGAGGGCAGAAGGGCCTTATATCAGAGACTTCATCAGCTTTGGGGGGGCTTCACCTGGAGGCTCGAGACTGGGGTTCGAGGCATTATGTGAACCCTGAGCAGGGCTTAAATCCCGGGACAGGTTAAAAGTATTGGGGGATCCCCCACTTGCATATCAGGGGAGAAGTCACAGTGTTGGGGGAACTGAGCAAAAGAAGCGGCGATTGGCCCAGGGAGGGGAATGGTAGCCAAATCAGATGCTGGGGGGGGGGGGGCTTCCCTTATTGAAATGCTGCACCCCGGGGGTTCCTTCAGTGCTTTCAATCATGGCTTGGAAATTTCAGTGGCTGGCTTCAACTAAATCCAACCAAGGTACGTACAGTACTTGATATGTTAGGTGACTCAGAAACAGAAACTCTTAATAGTGTGTGTATGTGTGTGTTTGTGTGTGTAGTTTAATGATAAGGGGGATTTGGCATGGGGTGGCTAGAGCTGAGTGATCACAAGAAGGATTGGGTGAAGGCCAGTATTAATCTGAGGTGAACAATATTACATTTGTTCTGAATATCTGCAGAAATTTAATGATTATCTGCCTTTGCTAGGCAACTATGGAGTGTCGAAATAAAACTGGAGTTCCAGCCCGGAAGCTAATCCAAGGTAACTTCTTTTCTCTTCAAATATGTAATCTGGTTCTTCAACTTTTTTATCTTTTTCTTATTACTTGGATTTGTAATGCTATTTGCATTCAGTTCTTTGTTTCATACCTTTATCCTTTCACGGAGTTGCAGAAAATAGAATGAAAAGAGACTCAGAGGGAATGGTGGTTCTTTTATGCTATTCACTTCATTGAATGCTGTGGCAAATATTAATTCATTTTGGTTTTGTTGAACTGCAGTCCTGAACAGCACTGATCTAGTCAGTGACTTGAGAAGAGTCCCCATTAGTGCATCTGCAGTCAGGAGCCTAGGCCTACCTTTAAACCTGCCTACAGGTAGTCCTCAACTTACAATCAAAATTGAACCCAACATTTCTGTTGCTAAGTGAGACAGTTAAATGAATTTTGCCCCATTTTGTGATCTTTCTTGCCACAGTTATTGTGAATCTGGCTTCCTCGTTGACTTTTCTTGTCAGAAGTTTGCCAATGGGGATCATATAGTCCCAGGACACTGCAACTGCCATAAATACATGCCAGTTTCCCAGTGTGTAAATTTTAATCATGTGACCATGGAGATGCTGCAATGGTTGTAACTCTGAAAAATGGTCATAAATTAGTGCCGTTATAACTTTGGTCACTAAACAAAATGATTGTAAGTCAAGGACTATCTGTAGTTGCTTACAGTGATTATAGCTCACTGTATCTAAGAATCTAAGGACTCCTATTGACAGGTCAAACATTACATTATGTCGTAATTTATATAAGTATGTGGAATAACTAGAGTAGGTTGGGTTCATTCCTGTCACTAAGCAGTATTAAATCGTGGTTTAATAATGCCTGTGTCCTGGTTCATATAACAGTCAAAAGGAAGCAATTACATTGCTTAATGTTATGTCTGAATTCAGCTATGTTATTTGCCTCTGGTACTGGAGAAATTATTGTGGATACAAAACTACCAAGCTCTTGGCTGGTATTGATAGTTTTATGTTTTTGAATTTGTCAAAATTCCCTTTTGGAGCTAAATTAACAGCATTCTCTGTGTCTTACAGTAATAAATTTAATTGTCAATAACATTTGGATATATTTGCATGGCTATTAATAGATTTCTGGGTGGCTTACAAAGCCAAAAGCCAAAATACAATTTAAACTTTCAATAATATTTCCTCCTAACTCAAGACAGAATCAAATAATTATTCCAGAATGAGAAGCTACAGTAAATAGAATCTAGGCTTAGTTTAAATTTAAATTATGTTCTAAAAGGCTCTGGGGATTTGAAAGATACATGCGCTCTCAAAAAGGACTTCCTTTGTCTCCAGTTTTCTGTGTTTCAGACCAAAAGCCTTTCTCATCCAGCATCTTCCCGCATTGTTCAGGCAGATGCTGTGGGAAGCCCAGTGTGATACGCACCCACTTGTGTTCCCTAGTTACTCCTACTACGAAGCTTTAATGATAATATGCATCTGTCATCCTTAACAGCCTTCAACCTCTTTGTTTTCTGTGAATTTGTCTCATCCCCCTTCAGAGTTATCCAATTGCCATTGCTCCATTTGATAGTTTAAACCATGGTTTAATATTCCTTATTTTTTTTTTAAAAAAAGTACCTGTTCAGACTCTTTGTTTAATTACTTTGAATGACTCTAGTTTCTAATATTTTAAGAGAAAAAAGGTTGCCCACATTTGAACCGCGCGCCCCTCAGCCTTATACTATAAATTTTTGTCAGAGATGTTTCTCATATTCAGATTTAGTTATCTGTAGTCTGTGGTCCAGGGTCCACTGATGGGCTGTGAGAATACATCCATAAATATTGGTTGCCAGGCTGACAAAGAATCTGGGGGACTGTAATCTTAACAGCTACTGCAAGCTTCTCTGTTGTTAGTGAAGAAATCTATCTCCCTGATGGATTGCAGGTAGAAAGAAATCAGAAACTTTTGTCAGACCCCACAAACCAAGATGGGATTACTACTGAGTAGTTTTGTTCGCCTACCGACAGAACCTTGCCAGACTAACACAACTGTCTGCACAATTATAAATACATCTGTGAACTGTTAGGGAGGGTCCGTCTTTGCCCTCTTCCTAACAGACTTTCCAAGCTTTGTTGCCCTCTGGGACTCCAGACCACATTTAACTACACACACATACGCACACACTGCCATAATACACATGAAACTATATTGTTTTAAATGGGAGACAGTTCTGTTGCTAGAATTCTTGCAGTCCCATGTTTTCTCCATAAATCTGGTTAATGAGAACCCTGTGAGAATTCTGCTTGGAAAAGAATCAGTTCCCCAAGAGCCTGGCAATTTAAGTAGCCCCGGATATGGGTGTCAAGCAACCAAAATATTATTTGTCTAGGTGGGAACACAAAGATCTCCAGGGGTTTGGCAACAACCATGCTAATTTACGGTCTCGAAAAATAAAATGTTTAATTTGAAACCTTGCACGAAGTTTGGATGTCAGCTGAAAAGGACGTACGTGTAATATCTGCAGGCTTTCTGTTGCTGATCTTTAGCTTGTGTGATAATCCTCTAAAGCTTTTGACGACATTGGTGATAGTCCAAGGTTGTGAATCTGTCTGACACCATTTAGTTGCCTTATTTCCACAGTAGTCTTTTTTGTCAAGCATTTGTACAAGGGTGATAAATGTCGACAGCTTCCATTCAGGATCCCCAGTGTGGCATTTTCCTTTTTAAGAGGAGCTTGTAGCTTTTAGTAAGCATTCTTTTTCCACTACAAGATTCCTTTCTTGATCAGATGTCAAGGGACTGTCCTGTGCCAGAAAGATATATATTTCGAAGTAAGAATTATTAACATCGTTACTTTTTTTATCCAGTCTTTTTGTGTAACTCAAGGTGGCAATATATAGCAACAGCACTTGGACTTATACCCAGCTTCCCAGTGCTTTACAGAGTCAACATATTGGCCCCAGCAATCTGGGTCCTCATTTTACTGACCTTGGGAGGATGGAAGGCTGAATCAACCTTAAGCCCGTGAGGATCGAACTCCTGGCAGTGAGCAGAGTTAGCCTGCAATGCTGCATTCTAACCACTGCATCACCACAGCTCATGAACATACCTAATACTTTATTTCCCCGAGAACAACAACCCTTTGAGGTGAGTTGGGCTGAGAGAGAGAAAGACTGGCTCAAAGTCAGCTTTCATGCCCAAGAAATCAAGTTCTCTAATGTATGCAAAGCACACTAACCCACATAGGAAATAGTGTGATGCTGGTGGTTTAATTTTCCATTTTTATAAAGGTAATGGACCTGCATGTTAACACACACATAATTTGAGGTAGGAAATAGAAATCATTGCAAACCACCCCATGGATTGAGCTGATAAAATGCTGCTGCTGCTGCTGATCGCAATTATTATTATTAATAATAATAATAAAGTTGGAAGGGACCTTGGAGGTCATCAAGTGCAACCCCCTGCTCAGGCAGGTAACCCTATACCATTCCAGACAAATGGCTGTCCAGTCTCTTAAAAACTTTCAATGTTGGAGCATTCACCGCTTTTGGAGGCAGGTTGTTCCACTGGTTAATTGTTCTCACTGTCAGGAAGTTTCTCCTTAGTTCCAGGTTGCTTCTCTCCTTGATTAGTTTCCATCCGTTGCTTCTTGTCCTGCCTTCAGGCGCCTTGGAGAATAGCTTGACTCCCTCTTCTTTGGGGCAGCCCCTGAGATACTGGAACGCTGCTATCATGTCCCCCCTCGTCCTTCTCTTCGTTAAACTAGACATACCCAATTCCAGCAGCCGTTCCTTATATGCTTTAGCCTCCAGTCCCCTGATCATCTTTGTTGCTCTTCTCTGCACTCTTTCCAAAGTCTCAACATCTTTTTTACATCGCGGTGACCAAAACTGGACGCCGTATTCCAAGTGTGGCCTTACCAAGGCCTTGTAAAGTGGTATTAACACTTCGCGTGATCTTATCAGTTTAAAATGATTGTTGATCATTTGATATGTTTGCATATCGGTTTGTTTTATCGGATTGCTGCTTTTATCTGCTTAGATAAGAAGGGCAGCCATACAAATATAAATAACGATAATATTCATTTTGTTGGTTTTATTATTCCAGCTCGGCTGCCCTTCAAGCGCTTGAACCCCATACCAAAGGAGAAGCACGATGCAGACCCCGAAGTGAAGAAAGCCAGGAGCGTGCCGCACGTCCTCAATCAAAACACACCCCACCCCGCCTCACCGCACCCATTGTCGGACAATGTGGAAAACAGTTGTGAGGAAGAATCGGAATCCCACGTTGCAAAACTGGTTAACGGCAAGGGCCCTCTGGATAACTTTGTGCAGAAAAGTAAAAGAAAGGAGGCGAGTCCGTCTCGGCTCTTCATAGACCTGACGGACGACCCTCCTCACAGGCCGAATGATAACACGGGTGGCACCAAGCCCAACGTCAGAGTAGCATCTTTGGGGGAAACCCCGAAGGAGAAAGGAGGCCAGGCTGGTTCCCCAAATTCCTCTTGTGACACCCAGGGAGATCCTTGTTTAGAAACTGGCTTAGACGTAACAGATAAGGAACTTCCAAGTACGGGGTCCGCTGGGAACGAAACCAGTGTTTGCAAGGAGGACAAACCTCCGAATGTCATATTTGAACGGAAAATGCCGGTCGTGGTTCTGGAGGACATCTTGGCCACCAGATCTCCTCAAGCTGCAGCTTTGGAAAGGAGCGTGACGTCTGAAAACGAAACCATGGAGTCTTGTCCGGAAGAGGAGGACACGCCATCTACAAATTCTTCCTCAAGTTCTCTCTCCCTCACCAGCTCTCCTGAGGCGACCAAGGAGCACGACGTCACTCCGATAGCTGCTTCAACGCCGATTTGGAAGGTTGGTATCCGCTTCAGGAAAGCCACATCCGGGTAAATATATCAGGTGGTCCTTTACTCCAGGGCTTTTCAACCTTTTCACCCATTGTACCACTTTTAGGATATGGCAACATCCGAGTATCACCAGTCGCTTAGCAAGGTGTCAAAAACTTGATGACCAAAAATAAAAAGGAAAAAAGTGATAAAGTACAGGTAGTCCTCGACTTACAACAGTTCGCTTAGTGATTGTTCGAAGTTACAATGGCACTGAAAAAAGCGCCCCCCCCCCAAGCCACAGCCGAGCAAGACACCTGCCTGCCCACCCGGCGACGCTCTTCCTCCTGTCCGAGGTTTTCATTGTTGTGAGCATTTCTGTTGAGGATTGGCAGCGGGGGTGGGGTGGGGTTGTTTGGTTTTTATTTCCTCCCGTCTGCTGGGTGGTTGCAGCAGATTTTGGTCACTTCACATGACCCTGGGGCACCGTGACCGTCATAAATATGAATCAGTTGCCAAGCATCTGAATGTAAATCACAAGACCCTGGAAATGCTGCAACGTTCCAGCTGATCGGCGCTTCTTCTGGGCTCAGCAGAATCACCAGGATCAGCGCTGAGCTCCAGCTGGAGTCTGGCGCTGATCCTGGTGCTTCCGCTGAGCCCTGACAGCCCTGCAGCTCCAGCCGTCTCTCGCTCAGGCTTGTGCGGTGCTGCCACCGGTTCAGCTCATTCCCCTCCCCCGCTACCACTTTTCTAGGATGGTCGCGTACCACCTGCCAGGTGCCAATGTACCACAGGTAGTACCCGTACCACTGGTTGAAAAGCCTTGCTTTAGTCACTGTTTGAAGTTACAACAGCGCTGAAAAAAGTGACTTGTGACGGTTTTTCACACAAGCATTGCGGCGCCAGTCACGTGATCAAAATTTAGATACTTGGCAACAGGCTCATATTTGTGATGGTTGCAGCGTCCTGAGGGTCACGTGATCCCGTTTTGCGACTTTTTTTAAAAAAAAATATATTTTATTGATTTTTTTTATAATAACAATCTTTAGTGCTTAGTAAACAGCGTGTTGTCTGAGTTCATATATTTAAACAATCAATAATTAATTTCTTGTTAGTTGCGAAGTTGTGTCCGACCCCTTGTGACCCCATGGACAACGTTTCTCCAGGCCTTCCTGTCCTCTGCCATCTTCTGGAGTCCATTTAAGCTCACGCCCACTGCTTCAGTGACTCCATCCAGCCACCTCCTTCTCTGTCATCCCCTTCTTCTCTTGCCCTCCGTCTTTCCCAGCATCAGGCTCTTCTCCAGTGAGTCCTTCCTTCCCATTAGGTGGCCAAAGCACTTGAGTTTCAACTTCAGGATCTGGCCTTCTAAAGAGCAGTCGGGGTTGATCTCTAGGACTGACCGGTTGGATCGCCTTGCAGTCCAGGGGACTCGCAGGAGTCTTCTCCAGCACCAGAGTTCAAAGGCCTCCATTCTTTGGCGCTCAGCCTTTCTTATGGTCCAACTTTCACATCCATACATTGCAACTGGGAAAACCATGGCCTTGACTAGACGCACTTTTGTTGGCAGGGTGATGTCTCTGCTTTTTAGTATGCTGTCTAATTAATATCTATAATTCTATAATCAATATATTAATTAATGATATATTTCCTTGATCTTCTTCCAGTAGTAGTCACCTTTTGTCAACATTAAATATAGTTCTTAATGAAGAGAAGGACGAGGGGGGACATGATAGCAGTCTTCCAATATCTCAGGGGCTGCCCCAAAGAAGAGGGAGTCAAGCTATTCTCCAAGGCGCCTGAAGGCACGACAAGAAGCAACGGATGGAAACTAACCAAGGAGAGAAGCAACCTGGAACTAAGGAGAAACTTCCTGACAGTAAGAACAATTAACCAGTGGAACAACCTGCCTCCAGAGGCGGTGAATGCTCCAACACTGGAAGTTTTTAAGAAGAGACTGGACAGCCATTTGTCTGGAATGTTGTAGGGTTTCCTGCCTGAGCAGGGGGTTGGACTAGATGACCTCCAAGGTCCCTTCCAACTTTATTATTATTATTATTATTATTATTATTATTATTATTATTATTATTATTACTTTCAATACATACAAAGCTGGATATAAACATTTTTCTTGTGTTTGCACAAGTAACAGTAGCATCAGCATATAATATCTTTTCTGATCGGCTTATGTTTCAATTGTATTTGAAAAAAATCACCATTAAGTCACTATATAGCCTGTTTTCAAGATTCTTATTTAAGTTTACTTTCCCCTCTATTCAGATTATTCTTATCAGTCATAATTTTCTCACAGTTAATTACCTTTAAATATCCAAACTTTTCATTCACTTCCACCATCCCAATATTTTTACATTTCATATAACAGTAATAATAATAATAATAATAATAATAATAATAATAATAATAATAATAAAGTTGGAAGGGACCTTGGAGGTCATCTAGTCCAACCCCCTGCTCAGGCAGGAAACCCTATACCATTTCAGACAAATGGCTGCCCAGTCTCTTCTTAAAAACTTCCAGTGTTGGAGCATTCACCACCTCTAGAGGCAAGTTGTTCCACTGGTTAAAAAATACTGTACTACTTGTATATCTTATCCCTCTTACTGTAGGGCTCCTTTATAGCCATAATTTATCTATTCTTTTAACCATATTCAAACAAGTGCTTAATCATATAGTATACTCCATCTGGTAAGTCGCATTAAATCTCTTGAATCTAACTCTAGCCTTCTTCTTTTGCCAAGTAGCTTTCCAAGTCAGTGTGTTCAGCTTGCCAGGGGATTTTTCCTGTATTTTTGTAAATGTTGTTGGGAATTGGAAAGACAAGTTAAGTAGGGTGTGCGTTTTTTTGTTTCCCAAACTAATGATTCTACTGGCTGCTGTATAATCCATTTTGTTAGATCTTCTTATCTTCCAAGTTTGTTTTGAAGCCCTGCAAAATAAAATATCTTTTCCATTTCCATCGTTGTAGCAAAATCTGGTAAGTTTTCTTTCTCTTCTTAAAAAAAACCTGTTGCATGAAGTTCAGAAGCCTGCTAAGATACTATGGGATACGATGATGCTTTTTTTTTTTTAACTTGGAAATTGATTTCGGCTTCTTGCTAAGTGCGATAATCGTTTATGAAAGGGTTGCAGTACAGTCCATATTAAGGGAAAAAAAGAGGAAATATTGGCTGAATAGTTGGAGATGTTATGTGCTCCTGGCTACTTTCCTTCCTGACCAGAGGCAAGCTCGCCTGACCAATAACCAGCCAAGACACAGTGAAGGCCTTTTGTTTCGTTTATTGCAATAAGCGGGGAGAGAAGCTATCAAAGTTTGGTTCTCTCCAAAGTTTTAACCCAAAATATCTCCTTCTTTTATTCATCCTTATCACCGGCCGCCACATCCCTCCTCTTTCCCGATTGGCTGAGGTACTATGAGGTTACACTCTTTCCGTCCGCCTATACACATTTCCTGATGACATATTAAATCATATTCACATATACAATAAGAATAAGAAAAAAATAGACATTTAAATTATTTTAAACTCAATAGATATTTATGTCCCCATTTTAAACAATAAGTTCTTTTCCTGCTTTTCAATTTAGTGTGCCTTTCCTCTTATCTTATTCAGCTTATTTTCCTATTCTCCAACCTGTCTTTTCCTGGCTAGCCGTTTCCTTTTACAATTATATATATATATTATGGCTTCTCTTCTTCCTTTCTCAGACCCAGCTATTTTTGCCCATATCCTTACTTCCATTTATGTTATCTTTTCCTGACTCTCACCAATTGTAGGTTTAACTGACTCTGAAGATTTATCATATTGATGCATATTTATCAGAGACTTGTATTAATAATATCTGTATGTAATTGAATCATTGTAACTCAGCGGCCACCTTGTTTTTCAAAGATATAATTGTAACATTAGAAAATAAATAAAAAGTTTAATAAAAAGAAAGAAAGAAAGAGAAAGAAAGGGTTGCACCGTTCTACAAGACCGTGCACTTTTAAAAATTAACAACATTTTGTGGATATTTCTGTGGGGGAAAATTACACAGAATGGAAATGTTTTCACAGGAACACATAGGATTAGAAAACAATCAAATCCGAGCCCCTCTGTAGAATAATAATTTATTAAATTTATACGCTGCCTGACTCCCAGCAACTAAAATGGCTCAGAGTTTCTGAGCTGGCCTCAACCTGTCCCAATGATTGGATTTGATCTGGAGAGTGAGAATGGATTTTATGGCGCAAGAAGGCATACGGTTTGAGTGACATCTTGAAAATCTGCAGTGGAGGAGTGTGCTGTATTAACAAAGTGTTTGCGTGGGCACTCGCCTTCCAGTCAGTGTTGACTCTGCCTGGATAGGTCTCTGCCCTTTTTTTAAAAAAAAAAAAATTCAGAAGTGCCTCCTTCTTAGGGTTGAGAGTGACTGGTGCAAGATCACCCACCTGGCTTCCTGCCCAAATCAGGACTAGAACTCATGATCTTCTAATTTCCAGCCTGTTGTTTTAACTACTAAACTAAATTGACTGCAGATATAGCATTAGTGCAGACATGTCAAACACAAGGCCCGGGGGCTGGATGCGGCCCGCGAAGTGGTTTCATGTGGCCCGTGAAGCCATCCTGGAATCAGTGAGGGAACGGCCCCCGCTGCCTTGGCCCTGGCCCAGGCCGGCCGGGAGCCAATGTACAATTTTGTGGTGGCCATCTATGCTGAAACGCATTCAGTCTTAGCTCCACAAGGCCGTCTAGAAACAGCGAGGAACCAGCCCCTGCCGCGTTGGCCCCGTCCCCTGGGTGCATGCTGGGGAGGGGTCACCCTTTGTGAGGAATGAAGAAATGGACCATGCCTTGGCGCTTGCCCCGGTCCCCCCTCTTCTGCCAGAGACCCTCAGATCTGTCCCACTCCTGCCCAGGCCCCCACAGGCACCCTTGACGCGAACGATGTAGAGCTGGCCTTGCCCACCCAGTAGGCCACACCCACTCCATCCACGCCCACCCAGTAGGCCGCACCCACCCTGGC